AGCTCTTGAGCAAATCCAATGCTGCTCACCAGAACATAGTATTTACTTTAGAAATGGAAAACGACAACAAATTGGCATTTCTAGACGTCTGTTTGAGTCGTAGATCAGATGNTTAGAAGGGCCAATATATTCATTTTCGCAGCTTTGTATCGCTCAAAGTCAAGAGGAATTTGGTGCGCTGCCTAGCAGATAGAGCAAGGAAAATTTGTAATGAAGACACAATAGAAGAAGAGCTCCGGTTCTTACATACTAACTTCATACACAATGGTTATGCAGGACGATTGGCTAGCAAGATGATTCAGTGCGGTGGAGATATTGTGAAGAAGACTGAGGTCAGAAAGAAGTCGGTTTACATTGCCTTGCCGTTCAAGGGGGATACATCAGCAGAGCTGAATGCTACCAGGCGCGTCCCCGGGTAGTGGATAGGGGAATATCTTCGCTGAAGAAGGTTAGCTGTGGATAATTTGTGGCATACCGTAACAAATAAGCAGTCGCGAGCAAACAGCGGCGGCACTACCCGGGTGTGATGGGTTTCAGGCTGGTCACCTGGATCCTGTTTAAAAGCCATATAAGCCCAATGACGGTCTCTTGATAAGGGTCGATGTGACTGGCCTTTTAAAACTAAAGTCATTGACTGCGTCACTTCCGAGGCGAGGGATAATATCCTACTGTTTTGCAGTTCGCACTTGGTCGTGCAAAGGCTAGAGGTGCGCCGTCAAAATTTAAAAAAGACGCCCAGTGACGCTGGTGACGTCCTCGTTCTAAACTCCCAAGTAACTTCATGGTTATGCTCATGTCTGGAGCCGGCTTATCATTTCCAAGGGGTCAAACGGAGTAAAGCAAAGTACGTCGACTAGGTGCGCTAGAATTGCGCGGTTTGTTGATGCCATTGTGCTCTCCGAGCCAGAACTGTTGTTTCCAGGTGGTTCGCAGCCAGGCTCGACAAATTCCGCATCCCGGCTACGATCATTCCACATTATATCCCTTGCGCTGTTTATTGATGCGGTCCGTCTTAGTCCTAATCAGCTTGACTGATGCTCTTGAATCCGCCTAGATAATTGTTGTGTTGTTCGATCAACATAAAAACACGCCATACATGCATCTCACCTTTTAATTATATGATGATATTATCGAAAATGTGAAAGAATACAACGATAAAAGTATTGCACCCCCTCCCTCGAGTTCACTTAAAATGATGGAAGTTAGTGGGTTTTAGAATACTCATTCCGTGGTGGAACCTTGATACACTTTTAGACATTCTCTGCACAGCCATTTTGTACCCGACCCTGGACGTTTTAGTGCGGTGGTGACTGAGAATTAAATCATGTTTTGATAAATCCTTCAAATACAAGTCCCTCTGTTATGAGCTGAAACTCATGCCAAACAGAAGTACCTTAAGGACGAAAAGAAATTCAACTCGGGCGAGTCGAATGAGTGGAACAACTATTGGCACGATCTGATCAATGATGAATGACGATACTCCAATGGGATAGCTCACGGATAGACGTGCATTAATAGCACGAGGCACAGTTCCGGCTCACGTTCCCAGATGACCTCGCAATTAGGCGTGTTGTTCACCAATTCGATTTGTACATTCGCATCAGCGGTCAGGTGGAGACCCCATTCCATCAGCATAATATCACAGTTCGTCTTTGTCTAATGGCTGATCATTTTTCTGCGGTATCAAAGTGATGGTGCATCCGATCTGGATCTCAAGCCACTGGAGAACTCTTAGGGCATTTTGATCCGAGGGTTGTATCACTGTTGGCAATCGGTGGTAGTGGCGCAGTGGTTTAGTCGCTGTCGCCGGCATGCTTTGGACCCCATGGTTCGAGGTTCATACCCCGCCACCGTCACTCGACTTTGGTGGTAGACAGCTTTTTTGTCGTCCGGTTTTATACTACTCCTGACCTATCGGGGCCTTATGTGGTTCGCCACTCCAAGTCCCGGGGCTTAGGTTACCGGTTTCCATCACTGAACAGCAACTCCTCGTGGCTATGGGTTTCGCCCCGTCTGCCATTCATCACACTTGGGTGTGTAATAAAAAGATTGTCGAACTTTTGTATTGTATTGTATTGAAGCTTTGGCGAGTTATATACCAGGTTTCAGCCATGGCCATCTAAAAACGGGAATGGCTGTCTATTGACGAGGGTAGGTTGCGAAACCTTGTAGGTATGCCCGAAAGTGTATTGAGGTTCTGAAACGAAACAGCTACCCCTGGTCAATATCTAGGTGCTGTCTTTTGCAGTGAACCCCAGAGATATACGATACTGTTACTGCGGCATTGTTTTCCGTTTTCAACCATATTTGTTTAGTTATTAAAAGCTGAGCAATAGACATTTGGTATTCCAGCTTTTTACTGGATTACTGTATGGTTGCCACAAAACT